CAAAGCCTGTAAGAGAGCTCTAACAGGGGTGGCCTCTTTAAGGGTTTAGAGTGCAACTTACAGTGTGCATGTGTGTTTGAAAACATTTTAAAAGACCTGCTATGGAAGCGAATAGAATAAAGAAGGGCCCAGACTTATCTCATTAAACAAATTCTATTCGTAGGAGCAGGCTCCACTCCTAGCTGCTGTGGACATTCTTCCTGACTGCTCCCTCCCTCAGCCCATCCTCTATCACCATCCAGCATGGGCAGGGTCTAGAGAGCTTATTCATCTTCTACCACCACAGTGTAAGGACTCCCAGAAAACGGACTGTGGCTTTTGGCTTTCTTAACCTCTTTGGTGCCTAGGACTAGATGCCAAGAGGGGTTTCCTGATGAATGGAGTTGAATACTCTGAGAGAGATACTCAGAGTAAATCTTGACTATGATATTCCTTCCACTTTTCAAGACTGCCTGCTCTTTAGGCAGCTGTTCTGACCACATTTGCTGGTTATCTGCCGTCTTCCTTTCAGCCCTGGCAATCAGTCATAGGCTGCACTCTGCCAGACCTTGTGTGCCAGAACCAGCTGCTGCTTCTGATGTGGGCGGTTTTGAGTACATTCCCACACTCTTCAGAGAGTCTATGGGCCTGTGTGTAAAATGTGAAGAACGGTTCATATCTGCCTTGTAGACATGTGAAGGTGTGTTAAATGCATTGCACATGAGCCAGGGTTTAACGTTGTTCCCATTACTGTGATTGCTACTATATAGTCACGTTAAGCCGAATGACATTTGTACACATGTCCTCTCTAGCCCTCCAGAGCAGTGGCTCTCAACTGGGTTCTATCCCTATACCACTGATATGTACACCAGAAGAGCAGAATCTCCAGTAGATAAGGAGAGGATGGGGCTTGTACATACTATAAGTGATTGTGATATGTACTCACTAAACTAGAAAGTTCTGCAAGACAAGTTTAATTTCCACAGTCCTTTCCAAACAAATACAGTGTTCCAAAGATCAGTGGCTTCCAAATTGGGCTGGACTGGAATGTTGTCCCTGTCTGAGGATGAGCCCCAGAAATTCTGAGGTAGGTTTGGAATATGATGCAGATGTGAGGGTTTCCAGAGCTGGGCAGGACAAGGAGCCTAGTCTCCAGTCAGGACTGGAAGCCAATACACTGTTTGGGTCTGGAATCCAGTGTTCTACTGCAGTGGCAGAGCAGATCAGCTTCTATCGGGGTACAAACTGAGCTGCCATTTCAGACTGACTGTGCAGAAAGGATATTGCACTTAAAAAGCAGTAACTTGGGCTGTGGAGATATTCAGTCAGTAAACTGCCTGCTGCACAAGCACAGGGACCAGTATTTGATCCCTCAGAACCCACATTTAAAAGAGCCAGATATGGCAGCATGCACCTGTAACTTCAGTGGCAGGGTTGGGGGATGATAGAGACAAGAGATATTTGGGGCTCAGTAGCCAGCCTCTTACCAAACTAGTAAGTCCTAGGTTCTAGGTCCAGGGAGAGAACTTTTTTTTCCAGAAAAGCAAGGTAGAAAGCAATTGAAGAAGAACATCAAGCATTGACCTTTGACCTCCACGTGTGTGCATGAATGCGGGTGAGCAAGCATGCATGTGGGTGCAATGTGAGGGTGGGGTCGGGGAATGAGGACATGGTAGGTGTACAAGCAACTGCTCCAGCCTGCCAGCAAGAGCCTTACAGTCTCACAGAGCAGTCTGTATTTACCACTGGGTCTGTCCCAGGGCCTTCTAATACACTGGATACTTTACATATATTTGTAGGGAGGTTGAATAGTTCTATTTATTATATGGCTCCAATTAAGTTCTCAGTTGCTTGGCTCAGCTACCTAACAGTTTTTACAAGCAGCTAAACACCAACAGCCTCCGCCTCAAATCTCAAACCCATAACAGAGAACAGAGTGGCCAATTCTCCATGGAACATGCTGACATTTCTCCTTGGGGTTAGATATACTGTGTGAGCACCTAATGACTGATAAATATAAGCAAATTGGATTGCATGAGCCAGGAGGAACCCAGCATTCGTCAGCAGCACAGGCCTCCCCGCTAAAATTTGGATCGTTTCATCTGAAAACGTCAAATTACATGAGCATGATAAAAAGGAGTAGTGGGAACCTCACAGTAAGCAGCAACTGGCTCTTTGTCAATGAGTGAGAAGAGAAAATGTAGCCTGGGATCAAAATGTGCAGCCAAATGCCTGCAGCATGGGCAGGGGCATGTGAGCTCAGAGCCTGCACCCCCAGGAAGATCTCCTAGAAGCTCAACCACAGAGCTCTTTCCCCACCCAGGACCCCCTCCCAGTCCCAAGTTTCTAGCCCAAAATCTGATGCCCCAGAGAGACCCAAGTAAGGACCTAGGAGTCTGACACCGCTCTACAACTCTGGGTTGTCACTCAAACTCCTCAGGACCCAGACACCGAGTGCATCATTGTTGCTTTATCAACTCCTTAGAGCCACCACCGCCTTAATGTGAATCCCGTCTCTGCCCACTGCTTCTGGAGCCTTGGGGAAAGCACCCCCGCCAGTCTCAAGTGAGCCTCTGTTTCCTTGCCTCTGGCTCAGATGACAGCAGAAAGCATCGAGAACAGCACCTGGCATGCAATGGGAATGCAATGAGCCTTAGGAACCTCGGTTTTGAAATAAAGAGCTCTGAAAAGCAAGGTTTTTTTCTCTGTCTTTTTACTATGTTTTTGGTAATGATACTCACTGGTCAGGAAACTTGATCTTCATTTGGTTTAGGCTATTTAGAGTCTTATTGTCACTCTATTTGGTGAAAGCATTCATGGTTACTTGCAGAAATAGTCCTCGGTTTGGCCATGGTGGCTACACCACAACATACAGGGAATGTTAACCATATGTGAAATACATCCCGAGTTATCTCTCTAAAACACAGACAGTTCTGTGTTCTAGAACACGTTGGCAGTCTGGGGAGATGGCTCAGTGGGTAAGAGGACTTGCTTTGAAAGCACAAGGATCTCAGTTCACATGATCAGTTCCCACATAAGAAGCTGAGCATGGCCCTCTATGCGATCCCAGCATTGGGAGGGGCAGAGGCAGGAGGGTTGCTGGGGCTTGGTCATCACCAGCCTAGCTTCAGGTTCAGTGAGAGAAATGGGCTGAGAGTGCTAGAGCAGGGCACACGATGCCATCTCCAGCCTCTGAGCACATGTGGCTCTCACACAAGCATGACACCCATACGCATATAAACAATCAAATCCCATTGGCCACAGGTATCTCAGATAAGTGGGGGGGGGCAGTGGTAGTGAGGAAGAAAATAGGATGCCTTGAGCCCTAAGCTTCCAGAAAGAGGCATCCACAGTCCCAGGGCCTATTGAAAACACATACTAGAAACTTTCTAGAAAAAAAAAAAAAAATAGAATTGTAGGATCCAGCAACCACAGCTGAGGGGTATCTAAGACTCCAAACATGTAACCTGTCTAAAGACTGGCAACACAGATCACCTCTTCACACGCCTGTCTTTTTTTTTTTTTTTTTTTTTTTTTGAAAGTTTTTGAGAATTTCATATATGAGTACTGTATTTTCATCCCTTCTACCCCTCTGTCTCCCCCTTCCATATCCTCCTGTGTCCTGTGTTCCCAGACTCCCTCTGGAATTCATGACCTCTTCCTTATTAGTATTTTATATATATGTTCATATGTATGTACATAAAAATGTTTGTATATATCTATGTATTTTCTGTTGAGTCTATTTAGCATTGTTCATAATTATAGCTGACCTCCTAGGACTGGAAAATCTATCAGGGGTCTCATCCCTGGAAAAAACTGATCTCTCCCTCTTAGCAGCCATTGATTGCCTAATATAGGTCTGGCTCACACCTTTATTAGGCAATTAGGAAATTTCCCCATCCTTACAGTATGTCACTTAGCATTGTGATTATCCAGGTCTGTTTAGGAGATGACACTGTTGAGCAAGTCTCTGTCCTCCTGTCCTCTCTTTAAACCCACACAGCCTGTGACTAGTGATTTCTAGTCTTCTCCCCCAATCTCCACCTCAGCACAGTGGTGCCATTTTGGAACCCAGGTGTCTTAATTAGGATTACTATTGCTATTACTATTGCTATTGAAACGCCATGACCAAAATCAACTTGTGAAGGAAAAGGCTTATTTCACTCACTGTCCCATATAACAGTTCATCATCAAAAGCAGTGAGAGCAGGGACCTGGGGCAGAACCTGGAGGCAGGAGCTGATGCAGAGGCCCTGGAGGGGCGCTGCTTACTGGCTTGTTCCTCATGACTTTATCAGCCTGCTTTCTTACAGAACCCAGGGCCACCAGCCCAGGGGTGGCATCACCCACAATGAGCAGGACCCTCCCCCATCAATCTCTAATTAAGAAAACGCCCCACAGCCATATGTTATGGTGGCGGTTTCTCAACTGAGGCTCCTCCTTTCAGATAACTCTAGCCTGTATCCAGCCAGCCCGCAAGGGCCCCTCCTCCTTTCACACCTTCACAGGTCTCCAGGAAGTGTGATGTCTGATGACATCTCAGAATTTCCTCCACTTAAAAAAGTAATTTTACAATCAAAGAGCAGGGTAGGAATGGCCTTGGGACTGTAGAGGCTGCAAAATAAGTAAAAAGCTTTGTGGTGGCTGGGGAAGTGGCTCAGTCAGTAAAGTACCTGTAAGCAAGCAGGAGGATCTGAGGATCACAGGTAGGGATGGGGGTGGGGGGAAGCAAAGCCAGCTGTAGCTGGGGAGGAGGAGCCAGGTGGAATCATGGCAGCTCCTGACTGGTCAGTCTAGCCAAATTAGTGAGTTTTTGGTAAGTAAAGGACCTTTCCCCCCAAGAAAAACAAAGGATAGACTTGGCCTGAAGGATCAGGCCAAATGCTGCTCTGTGGCCTCCACCTGCCCATTCATGAACAGAAGGGGCATTGGCAAGAATTCCTTCCACTCTGCACAGTCAAGGCAGTGGCTCTGCTATTGTTCAAGGCAAGGACGGACCCAGGGACCACTGTGGGCACATACCTTCTCTCTGAATGTTCTCGGCCCCGAGCCTGCGGGTGTCGGCTGCCTCGCGCCACGGTGGGGCCTGGGCGGCTGGCATTGGAGCCAACCAGAGCATGTTGATCCTCACGGCTTCGATGCAGTGGTACTGAAGTGCGTACAGCTGACACAACGTGGCCAGTGAAGGACAGTGTAGGGCCACTGGGCCGTGAGCCTCCACGACCACGGTAGGAGCTGGGCAGGCAGGGCCGTGTCTGCTCCATCACACCACCGCTGCAGCTGCGCGAGCAGGCAGACCAGGGGCCCCAGGAACCCCAAACTCCTGGGGAGCCACCACCGCTGTCCTCTGGGGTTCCCTCTGCCACTGCCATCCGTTGTGGGACCTGTAAAGACATAGGATGCTCAGGGACCTGAACCTGAGAAGCTTGGGGCAGGGCTAGTTTCTCTACTGGACTCATGTAAACACGGTACAAGTAAGAATCAACACAGAAAGCATATAATTCAGCCTAGGTCACAATCTATACCAACTTAGACATAAGAGACAATTTAAGTGTTCAGGAGCCAGGACAGTGACAGTGCAGTCCTGGCTTTGAGCGCTGTGATGACTAATCTTTATTATCAACTTGATGGGACTTAGAATCACCATGGCAACACATTTCTGGGTTTATCTATGAGGGTTTTTCTAGATTAAGATACAGTAGGAAGACCCACTCTATTTGAGGATGACACTATGCCGTAGCCTGGGGTCACTGACAAAACACCAATAGCGGAGCAGCGGCATTGATCCACTCTGCTATCTGACTATACCCATGATGCAGCTACTTTCCTCCTCTCCATGGTGGGCTGCACCCTCAAACCATGAGTCAAATAAACCTTTCATTAAGTTGCTTTTGTGGGCTATTTGTCCCAGCAATGAGGGAAGTTACTAGTACGAGTGTTACGGTCTCAAAGGGCAGGTATGGAGTCTTCAGGAGTCCTGTTCTTCAACTTCACCCTGTATTCCTTCCCCCAAAGCCTGGGCTCCCTTTAGCTGCAAGAAAAGCAATGGCTAGAATAGTTTGGAGGCCTGGAGCCAGGCTGCAGGGACACAGACACAGACACACAGACACACACACCCACACCACCTCCTAAGCATAAACAGGAAGCTTCTGAGCCTCCAATGTCAGTACATTTGGTAAGAGAATGGTCCCAGTGCCTTCTAAGCCACAAGTGAGGCCCTGGACGGTGAAGTTTGGCATTAAGTTTGGCATGATTAGCAAGCAATCATGACAGTTTTCATGTTTCCATACACATCAGAAGTGTGAAAGATCACAGTATGCAAGCTCTAGCCAGAGTAATTCCATACTTTGTTGAGCTGGCTGGTCTTCCCGGAGACCTGTCATATTAGGTACTGTGCTACAAGCCACTCCCATCAAGGGTCCCTTGTTATGCAGATATGAACTGAAGTTCCAAGAAAAAAAGGCTGCACACTTGTTAAAGGTTCTGCAAGGCTGACTGACCAACCTGAACTGTGATTATGGAATGTTGCAGTGCCAGACCTCAAATTACCTTGGGTTCCCTATTAGTCCCCTTAATAGCCATCCCTTGCTCACTTCTGGATTTGACCTCACAGCCTTGGGGCAAATCCTCTTTAGAATGTACAAATAGACTCCTTAGCTTCAAACCAACCCAAAGGCTAAGAATGTCATTAGATAACATCTTAGGTTTATAGCAGAGTTTTGGCTGTAACCCACCTACTGGTGTTCCCACCAATGTATTTTAAGTTTACCCTTTTCCCTCGTTACTATAAAAAAAAGTCACAAATGTTTGAACATCCTGTTTGGGTTAAACAGAATCTGTTTACCTGGACCATGGCCACTTACATTTGGCTCCAGAATGAACTATCTTTTCTTTCCATTGAGGAGACAGCTACATTTTTCCCTCAACACAGACATGTTCTGTATACCTGGGTCAGAATCAGGCAGCCACCCTGAAGGTAAGCAAATTAGGGGATAATAGGTTTGCTTTAGATAAAACTCCAGGTGTGTTATTATAGGGAAGTCAAAATAGCAGGAACATGAAGAAAGAAGCTAATCACATCATCTCCACACTCAGGAACAGAGAAAAATGAATTAATGCATGCACGTCTACTATTGAGCTCACTTTCTCTATTCTTATACAGCCTGGGGCCCCAAATCAGGTATAGTGTCATCCCATATCAGTTAATGTAATTAAGAAAACCGTCCTTGGGGTCAAGGACACTAAGAGAAGGCTCACATAACAGGGGTTTTCACAGACTGAACCAACAACCAGGGAGCCTGCAAGAGACTGGCCTAGGTACTCTGCATATTATGTTACAGTTGTGTAGCTTGTTCCTCTTATGGTACTCCAAACATTGGGAACAGGGGCTGTCTCTGACTCTTTTACTAGCTTCTGGGACTCTACTTTTCATTCTGAGCCACCTTGCCCAGCCTTAATACATGGGGAGGTGCTTCCTCTTATTGCAACTTGATATGCCATGTTCTATTGACACTTGTGGGAGACCTGCCCTTTCCTGGATGGACACAGAAGAGGAGGGGATTGAGGGGTGAGAATGAGAGAGACTGGGAGGGGAGGGTGGGAGAGGATGCTGCTGCTGCTGCTGCTGCTGGGATGTAAAATAAATAGATTTAAAAAAGAAAGAACAAAGAAAACTCTCCTCACACTTGCCCATAGGCCAACCTGATCTTGATAACTCCTCACTGAGACTTTCATCCCAGATGGTCATAGAGTATGTTAAGCTAGCAAGCTAACCACATCAGGCCCAGATCCACATGAGTGGCCTAAGCCCAGCAGCTTATGCTGTCAATACATAAAGAGAAGGCTCCTAGGAGGGACTGGCTGCCTTGGTTGGGTGGAGGGAGTGGGAGGCTTGAGAAGGCCTCCCAGAGGAAATACAGGAAGGAGTTCCAGCAGAGCTGTGACTGCTAAGCACCTATTGAATGTCTGATTGTGTATGCAATCTGAGTCTTATTTTATTTATGTTTTATGTATGAGTGCTCTGCATGTATGCCCACACACCAGAAGAGGGCGTCAGATCCTATTATGGAGGGTTGTGAGCTACCATGAAGTTTCTGGGAACTGAACTCAGAACCTCTGGAAGAGCACTCAGTTCTCTTAAGCAATGAGCCATCTCCATGTCCCCCACAATCTGAGTCTTATGCCTGTCCACCAATCCCCTTTTATGGAAGGGAAACTGAGGTTCAGAGACACTGTGTGACTAGTCCCCAGTCACTATACTGGATTCAGATATAACCAGTTCTCAAAACTTGCAAGTTCTGGCACTTGCTGTCTTCCCAGCAGACATGTCTGTCCAAGGCATCCTCCTAGAACATCTTTCCTGTCCTTGGAGCACTGAGCAAATATGTGGCTTTCTATAGAACATGGATTCTTCTCAACAAGCCATGGGCTTCTCTATGCAGTGCCAACATGCCTACAGATGACACTGGATCTTCATTTGTGTTTACTGACCTTAGCTTTGGCCAGCTCAAAGGTCTTATGTAAGTGGTGAAGCAGTCCACGGATAATCTGGAACAAACCTGACGAGGCTGACTCCCAGGATGCCACATGTTGTCACAGATGATATCACCCAAGAGTGATGGCACTAAGCCTGCCTCACAAGGTGGCTGTGAGAACTGACCAGGAACCTGCCTAATAAGCATGAGTAAGCACTCCAGTTGTCCCCATGGCTCTTGCCTCAGGTCATCAGTCACCATGACATTACTGACATATAATCAAGGTCACTTTCCTTTAACAAAACTGCAGAGTTGGGTCATCCCATTTCATCTGTATAGCTCAAGTTGGCTCCTGAAGGTTCTGGAAGTAACTAGGGCAGGATGGAATAAAAGCATCAGCCAAGCAGAGAGGGGCAAGGGGGTTGTCACCCTGAAGTCATTAGCAGACCTCAGCTGGCATCGACAAGCTGATTTAGGGAAGCTACATCCAGAGGGCCAGAGCAAGGGTGATGTGGGGTAAGCCAGCTGAGACAGGGTCAAAGCAAGAATAAGACAGACATGAGAGGAGGCAGGCCCAGGTGCTAACTGGCAGCTGCTGACTAGAGTACATGAGTCTGCTCCCACTGCACTGAGCACCCAGAGAGAAGGGTTTCCTCCTGTTTATGAACACAGAACAAGGCAAAGAGGCAAGGGCTGGGGTCCATTGAAGCAGAGAAGACACAGTGCTGAGGAAAAGGCAATGTAACCACCTAAGCAAAGAGTGCAGGGGTGTGGTAAAAGCCACAGGGGGCCTGAAGCCACCAGATGCTGAAGAGGCAGAGAAGGGGTCTCCACCTGGGGATTTGGGAAACCACACATAGTTGGTGACATCTGGCCTGCAGAACAGTGAGGAAAGTCACCTCTGCTGTTTCATGCCATTGAGTCTGTAGTGGTTTGTTCAAATAACAGAAAGCACTGGGCTTTGGGGACAAGGTAGGAAAGTATACCAGCGGCTATGAACACAAGCCTTCTCCCTGTTGGCTGCATGGGCATATAAGTCAGACCCATGACAGGACAGAGGCAAGATACCACCACCCAGGTCATGTTTTCAGAGCCCTGCCCCAGTCCCAGCACACACACCCCCCAACTAATGTGCCATCAGTTGGTCTTATTCTGCTCCATGCAGGGGAAGAAACTGAGATCCCAAGAAACTGTGACATGCTATGGTGTCAACCTAGTGAGAGGCACAGAGCAGCCTAAATTCCAGTTCTCCATTCCTCTAGTCCCCTGGGTGTTTTCTCCTGTATGATACTGCCACCCTCCCTGTTCTGTTGGTGGAAAATAGGAACAAAAGAAGGGTAATTCCACATGTATGGTTTTTCCTAGTGCAAGGATGGTTGGGGATAAAGGAACAGAGACAGGAAGATGTTTCTGATGCCTTTAGGGATATGTGCTGTCTGCCCCTTCACAATCTCTCCGTAACAGATAACCAATATGCTTTCTGTAATAGTCCATTAGACATGCAGCTACAAGGGGACCACTTTCCTCAACTAATCCCACCCTAATTGAGCATCCGGCTCCCAAACTGGGCAAGATCCTATTGGAAGGGAACACAAAACCATATCCCATCCTATGCTTCTGACATGAATTCTCAAATTCACAGTGTGACTCTACAATAAGTGACCTGAAATTCCATGACTGCCATGGTGAGAGTCCAGCCACACAATCCAGAACTGGGTTTTAATAGTAGTCTACCTACACAGTTTATGTTAGCTATGCTCAAACTCTCACATATCACACACACATACACACACACACACACACACACACACACACACACACATATATATTATACACACATATACAAGAGTTGATATCACATCATTATATGAAAAGAACAAACTGGAAACAATACGAAGAGTCTAGACAAT